TATTGAAATATTATGGAATAAAATATTTTTATTACATAAATCGATTCTTCCAAACATTCTGCGTAATAAAGTATTAAGGTATTATGTGAAAAAGGTAATAATTCGTAACATATTTTAGTGGCAAATGTCTAGCTTGGTTAGTATCTGTTACCCATTACGTGTGATCCGCGAGACAAGAAGTAATCAAATTGCCACCAATATTCATTGCATCAATAAAAACATTATTAAAACAGTATTATATACACTGCGCTTTTGCTGGGCGACAGAGTAGAATACGCGCGCATGTGTGAGAAATACGTGTGAGCAAGGGGTGTGATTTTTATACAGATAACGGTGGCGCGGAAAACGAATGTCTACTGTAGTAGGACTGGTACCTTAGTCTGGTAAAGTATCATTAGCAGAAATGAGATTAAACGAAAGAAACACACTTTCAAATTTAAAAATACGAAAAAAATGTAGGGTCAGTAGGGATTATCTTCTGAATTTTTGTATCACTACCTTGTTAAGCATTTAGATCACTTGTTTATGCCTAATTATTAATCTACTTACACGGTGATCATGCTTTCTCTACTCACCAATTCAGATCTGCTTGAAGTGATTATCAATGTATCACTTATAAGCTTTATTAGAAAAACTAATATGATGTATGTATGTACAGATGTTACTTATAAATAAATTATTAGAATTGTTAAGACTATTTATTTTAATGCTAGTGTCATAGTTGTAGAATATCTACCATATTCAGTAAGAAAGGACTGACCACTTTAATAAAGATATTTTTAATGTTTTATAGTACATACACTTATTTTATAGGTAAACTGCTATATTTCATATTTATATGACATTTAATTAGTACAAACATAAACTGATATTAATTATTTAACATTTTATGATCGAGTTATTCTAATTTGAAGTACTAACATTACACATGAGAAATACATGTGTGTTCCTTTTAAATCTGTGATTTCTTGCATAAAATAAAGTGAAACAACAGTTATTTACTTTATTATTATGATTACATTTTTACATTAATCTGCTATATCCATTCTTGAAAAATTAAATATCTTAATTCCAGATAGCACATGACGCCCAATGACACCTTGAAAACGGCTTAAAGGCGCCTTAGACCTAAAATAGCCGTAAAATGGGCGTCTTCAAGGCGTCATGTGCTATCTTGGATGTAATATATGTTATTTTATTGTTTTTAATCGTATTATAAGTTTGATTTAAATCAATGTCAAAAATACTAATCACTATTGACCATGCAGAGAAGATTCGAGAATACAGTATCTGTGAAGTAACCGTCAGTATGAGATGTTCTGCAAAGTCCATGAAGTGTTCAGTTAATTTGATATCGACTTCAGTATATTTTACTACATATATTATAAGTATATATTTAAAATTGTGTACAGTACAAAAAAATGTGAAGAGTATTCATCACTTTATGCATGAAAATTATATTCATGCTACAATTTATTTATTAATGTGGGGGAAGTCAGAAAGTAGAGATAATATTGCAGACTTTAAGGTACATATTAAAAATATTTGGTATATATAAATTGTAGATAAACCATATTTCATAATAATAGTATATTTTAAGTTATTCGAAAATATAGATCTATCTGATATACTTAATAAATGTTGCACTGAAAATTATATCAAGCTTCTTACTACAATGATAGTAGTTTTTAACACAGTTTTTGTCGAAGTTGCTGTATTTAGTCACTCACTTTAATAGCAGTACAACCTCTTTATACGGGATTATATTAATTTGAAAAGAAATGTTTCACTAATGCTTACTATGACGTTTGGTAATTTGTAACTTTTGTCTGTTAATAACCACATTTGTATTCTATTATATTGTTACCAGTAACAGTCTTATGAATATAAATCGTAACGTAACGTAAAAGTTTTATTTGAATTTAACAATATCTGGCATGCAGAATAATAAAGTATGAACAAAAAAATATTTGTGTTAACATAAAGGCAATGCGTGCAGAATTAGCTATCTTGTTATAGAATCAGTTTTTTTAACGATAAAATTAGAACTGGCAATGTATGTTGTATTAATCAAGAATATTACTGTTTTGAATATTTTTTGATAATATGCCATCAAACGAAATAAGCGCTGTTACTCGTTTAGCAGTAAATTATACAATTTTATACATTTAGAAATGTACGTTCCTCATATTTCTTAAAGCAAAAGATTTATATTAAAATGAAGAAGATGTATCGATAATCATGAAAGATTTACCATACCTATTTAAGATATATATTATATTAATTGTAAAAGCATACATGTGTATGTAAGCTTTTATAAGTGACTTGTTACATGTATGTGAAAAAGATTGTATATCCTTATTTCACTATATGTACAACAAAATTAACTTTAATTTTTGACTTTTCCCACTTCTACATATATGTATAAATATTTGTGATTTTTATATAGCTGTGTGTGTGTGTGCGTGCGTGTGCGTGCGCGCGCGTGTGTATTTAATTGTAACATAATATTAAAGTATACCAAATACTACTTTAAGCTAACAAATGTAAGTAGATTTCAGATCATCATTAATACAATTATATTATGAAATATAATCTATGTACATAAAATAATTATTACCTGTTCTTAAATAATCAAAAAAGTTATAGATGCCTACTGAAAATACAAGCACATTAGACAGATCATTAAATATACACAAAGTGATATAACAATATCATTCCTATTACATGTACATATGGCGAATTCAGAGAATAAACAAAACAAAGTTTATATATCTATTGTTATATCCACTTGTAAATAATACAATCTCGGAGATGAAGATTCTCATATATGTAGACAATTATTACATATAGTATAATAAGTAATTACAAATAGCTTTCAGATTTTGCAACAAGAAAAGTAAAAATAAAACTTCTATTCTAAGAAAGTTGTTGCATTTTGTAACAATATAATTTTTGTCGTTAGTACTTTATTAATACACGTTTGTACCCTATACGTTCCATAGAAAAATATACTTTTGTAAGAACTTGTAATAAACTAAGACGGTTGTAAATAGTTGATTAACGATCTCAGTTATTGTTAATTGCACCATGATATTATATAACAGGATTTGCAAATTATAGAACATTAAGACACAGAATATTAAAGGATTAGAGATTCTTTTTAGTCATGTAACAAAGTAATATGATTAAAAAATGAATAAGTATAATACATAATTAATAATTCGATAATTTTGATTGTTTTAACTTTCATTTGATTGTGTATATTCGATTCATAAGTGTTGTAAACAATTCCACTAAAATTATATATTCATTGGATTTCCTCCAATATAACTTATACGTAAATTTTGTATGTAACAGTTATTACGTTTATGTTACATTATCTATCAACATATATTAAATAACTGATGAATATTCAATCACCAATATAAAACTTTACGTAAATATTTCGCTTATGTAACATTAAAAAGTTGCAAATAGAAATATCATTTTCAATTGTTTTTTCTTCTTAGACAGTACTAGACTTAATATTAATTTCACTTCCTCATAAAAAATATCAAGACGAAAACAACTTTCAGATTTCATATTGCACCTGTTACATATAAACATGCTATTTGTTTAATTATACGAAATACACTACGTTATTGCAATTTTTTGCCTTATTTCCACACATATTTCCTCCTCATTTTAATGTTTTTTAAAAGATGTAAGTACTAAAAAAATTAACCTGCCCAGACACAGAAAGAAAAATTTGTTCTTATAATGCAAGGAGCAATTATAAATATGAAGATTACGTTCATTGTGTGATACAATCTTAAAACTTCTCTTCCCTTCTCTCCTCGAGTATAGGTGTGATGCAATAGAAAAGTAAGTCTTTTGTTACAAATAAATTAATTTCCAAAATTAATCTAATTGAAAGCAATATTTTTCTCTCAATTATGTATAAATCAAATTATGTATTTAATGAAATAAGTACCTGTGCAGTTTACTGTGAAACTATATTCTTCACAAATGTATATTTAATTAAGAAATCATTAGAACTGATCACAGTTCACATGCATTCTATAACTCGTTATCTTATTTTCATTTAATCTTCTTTATATAAAACTAATTTATAATACATAATATTCAAACCATTAACTGAAGTGTTTAGAGTGAATAAAGAAGAGTTGATTAAATTAATTTTTTCAATTAATATAACACTTAAACAAAGTGAAATGGTTAAAAAAAATCATTTCTTTCTTTTATATGTTTATAGATAGAATTTTAGAATCTGTTATCAGACTTTCAAGATATACATTAAATGAGACACTCTGTCAAATAAAGTTATGGTCTGGTGAACACTGTGTGTGAGTTATTTAAATGAGTATTTAACATGTAACAAAATAACGACAAATTATTATTATAAAATTTGAATACCTTCATTTAAAATGTTAAATACTAATAAAATTAAACATGTATACTTTGAAACTTGTATACATGTATAATTCAAGTTATTCTTTTGAAATAGAAAAAATGTATTCGATTCGTGACACCTTTGACGAAAATTCTACTTTTTCTGATTATATCACACCTTAAGAAAATATTCTCATATTTATACAACTGTAGGGAACTAAACGAATTGAATCTGAACAATAAATAAATTAATGTTCTAAAATTAGAAATTGAACTATTCCTTCACTGTGCTAGAAAAAACATTACATGCAAAATTTGCTAAGAAATTAAATGATTTTTCAATATCAGTAAGTTTGAGTAACTCCGTACTTACGAAAAGATTATTATACGTAAAGGAAAAATTGAAGATTTTAAATGAAAGATTATCTGTTCAAACTAACACACAGTAAAATTAAAAATGTAATTGTAACATATAAATCTCTTTTAAATACGAGGTCTCCTTAAAACTCATTCATTCACATTGAAAATTCGAAACACTTAACTCGTACGATGTTCTTGTACGTAAAAATCTAATGTAAATATTAGATTAACAATAAGTTAGAAGTATTTTTTGCTGCGTTTATGGGTAATATGAAAGTTTTTATGAAAATTTCGATATGTTGACTGTCCGAAATAAAATTGCCATGAATGCTAACGAAACGGCGGAAGTAATTTTAAACGAAATTACAAAATTTCAAAGCACGGAAAGGATACAGGATGGATAAACTTGACGAACAGGGCTGGTGATGCGAACGACGAAGGTGGTCATCTGGTTGGTGAATCAATCGAACGCGGATGTTGTTCCAGAGTCCAGGTGTTAGCACTGGGCGAGTGGATTCCATTGTTAGCACTCCAAGCCTATAGGCCATGGGCAACCAATGTTAAAAAGAAAGAAAAGAAAAACAGTTTGTTAGTGATTTAATTATGATTGATTCATGTTAATATTAAGTCTCTGAATAGTTCAATAGTCGAAAGAAACCTAGTTAGTGGGAAGCAATGCTTTAGCTTAGAAATGCATTGATTTTTAATTACATGATAAATAAGTTAATTGTATGATTCTTTATTAAATAATATTTAACAAATATTGCGCTTAAGTAAGAATCAATACCAAGATCACAAGGAATAAATACAATGACTGAGCAACTGCTTCACACCCTGTTGTATCAATTTAGCGTTTAAGCACTTATTTTATATAAAACATTATATGACAAGAACATTGTCAGCTTGTACATCAATATTCATTATTTATTGCTATTTTTGCTGTTATGGCTTCGACTACTGTAGTCATTAGCCCACCTTTCACTGATTCTAATTATTAACCCTCTAACTGAGAACCAATTCATTATTAATGATACACTATGATTGACTGATTTCTTTAAACAAATTACTTATTACTGTGTAATTCTTTATGCAAAATTGATGACTAAATAATTCTATTGTGTTATAAAGTTTACTGAAACATTTCTAAGTATATAGAATGTATATCCACAAAATAGTATAACATTGAAGCTTTAGTGGTCCTCATTGTATTAATACTTGTATTAATGAGTTAAATTATTGGAATTCGATTATTAGAGGGCTGAGCTACTTTCGTTTAAACTTTCATAAGATCATGTGTCCTCCCCGCATTTAGGATACCCATGAGAACAACTCAACAGAATTATATAACACTGGATAACTATTGAAAGACACAAATAAGTACAAGAAAGCAGATTTGAAATAGATTTACAAAGACTTTAAAATGCAAATAACACTCTACTTTCAACAATGTTAAATAAATTTTTTAGATAGCTTGGGTGTGCACCTGCCACCATATAGCAGTGTTAAATAAGTGATATTGTACATATGTTTGATTTAATATGAAATGTGTAGTAATGGCAACAATATTACTGCGAATCAATTTAGCTTAAATAATGAACATCCTAAAAAGCAAGTACTGAAATATCAATCAAATATATATGTATTGTATACATTGGATCTAACAGCTTAGAAGCTTTCACAGAAAGCACAATTATTAAGGTTTTATGAATTAATGAAATTCTCGTTTTGTAACTAAAATTATAGTGAATATTTATATTGCTCTATACTTAATGTTTATATTTCTATACAAAAATGTTGTGAATAACCTAATAACCAGTTGTGTACAAGTTTCGAGCAAATCCCCAGCAATAAATGAGAAAAGTTGTCTAAAAAAATCATTGCCATCTGTTTCCGCGTTTGACTTGGGTTTTGCAGGCAATTCCAGCTGACTAATTAATAATGCAAATTGGCAAAAAGTTATGCAACATGACCTATGTAAAATTGAGGGCAAAACCGGAACAAGGTTTGCGCAAGCCAATTTGCTGCATATGTTGCTGTCACCCTGTCAGTCAAACCTGCGAAGCCAAATTTTGTTCAATGCATGTTATAAAGTTACGGCTACAAGTTTGATGCAAGATTTGCTATAAATAACTTGCACGCATATTGGTAGTAACATAGGCAGCAAATTGGCATTTTTCTCTCAATTTGACATAGGTCATTTTGCAAGACTTTCTGCCAATTTGCTTTATCATTTTGACGGCTGACGTTGCCTGCAAAATCCAAGTCAAATGTGGAAACAGATGGCTATGATTTTTTAGACAACTGTTGTCATTTATTGCTGGCAATTTGTTGCCTATATTGCTACCAATGTGTGCGCAAGTTGTTTATAGCAAATCTTGCATCAAACTTGTAGCTATAACTTTATAACAGGGACTGTATAAAAGTTGGCTTTGCAAGTTTGGCTGACTGGGTATTCCACTACAAATCTTGTACACCAACTTAATTTTAAATATATAGTTTCGTGTACACAAAAATTATAGTAATATACTATTGATAAAAACAATCGAGAATTGGTAGTAGTTCAAAATATCACATAAGAAAAGTTTCCCATATTTGTAATTTATACAGTACATACATTTCCATTGATTTATTGAGTTAAAGTTAATAAAAATAATCATGACATTCTTCTATTTTTTACATGACTGCACTGTTTTGTTAAACTGATAATGAGTAATAGATAAGAAATGCACAACATCTTTTATTACATATGATATTAATTGGTGTTTAGATTGGTGGTTTCATTTATTGAAATGATATTTTTAGGAAAGTTATCAAAATTTTTATTGAGTGTGTTAAATATATTTAGATGTATCACATACATTGACAATTGTAATTGTAAATATCTCAAATTTAAAATTGCTCTTATGCTTTGTTTATTATTTTCTTATTTTTTTATAAAACATCTTAAAATGTATATAAATAGAAACGTTAAGTTAGTGTCAACTTGGCCATGTGGAGCATTTTTGTTAGTTTTATAAAGACAATGCATAGTTATGTAATAAATACAATAGGTACATAGTTATACAATAAGTAAATGCATTTGTAACAAAGGCGCCATTATAAATTATGTGTGGTAATTGTTAGTGGTGATACATAAAGTAGGACAGGATGAAACTTTAGGATTGATTTATAATTTCAATTGCACAATAAACAAGTTTACTAAAAGATGTTACTGGAGAAAATCAAAAATCAAAAATCCCTAAAAGACATTCCAAATATACGAAAAAATTTGTGGTGATGATGAAATTAGTTGATTAATTTTTCCTGGGATATTGAGGAAAGCCACAATATGAATTACAATATGCATGTAAATTTCAGTTATTTCCAAATTAATATATCTTGAGTTATGCCAATGATATCCTGGATACACATGGAAGAAATACATCCGAAGTTTGAAAATATTCTGTTAAAATATTTGATAGTAAATATACTCTTTATTAATTTGAACCTTCGCATCGTATTACTGTACCACCCCTGTTACCTTCATTTGAAATAAAAAAAACACTTTTTCTATGCTTCAAATATGCATTTATTTAAGATATGTATACATCACGCACGCGTGCATACCTCACACGCATAAAAAGGCAAATTAATACGTGTTCCACAGGCACAAGTTGCTAAGAAAATTCATAAATTCTGAAATGTAATTTCTTTAAAGAACATTTACAAACGCTAAAGGAAAACATAAAAATATAAAATTAATTTATAATAACAATCGTTCTTACTTTGTTTAAAATACACCTTTTACTTTTTGCTGTTTTACATTTTCTGTATTTGTAATTTATATGTTGCACACATTGATTACTCTTTCAACCATGATACTTAATGGTATTTTTATTTCTTTATTAAAACACTGTTTGCTATTAGAATATTCTGTTATGCGATAGAAACCGCAATTTGAAACACTTGTGTCAAAAATAGGTAGGTGCGCACCCGTACCTTATTTCTGCTGCAAATTACCTTTTTACATGATCACTCGAAAACAAAGTTTAGGGAAATATGAAACGTGTCTGTAAAACTGTGTATGTATTCAATGCACCTAACTGCGGGGAGTTAACATAATACTGAAATTTTAAGATACTATTATATTTAAATTAAACACACATAAGGTGTAAAAATAAATTGAAAAGTTTATATTATGAAAAAACAGTAATAAGTACTGTGTGATTAAGTAGTATATCATTTTTGGGAACACAATTATAGAATGTTTACATGGTTCAAACTAACTATAATGCTAAATCCATATATTCTGTACATTACAGTATCCTATACTATCTAGTTCCAAGTAATAATAATGCTGAACCAAAAATATCTGCGACCCTATTTATGGCTGTTTTTATCTTTACACAACCCTAAAAAAATGACATTCTGTTTTTTCTGTTTACACTAAAATTCTTATGCGAAAAATGTCCATAGTGAACTTCACAATAGTGAAGTTTATACAGGGTGTAACAAAAATGTTGGAGGACCCGGAAATGGGAGACTTGTGAGGTGATTTGAAACAAGCTTTTCCCTAGCAAAAATGTTATCTGAAAACCATAGGAAAATAAGCTATCCAGGAACGGAAATCCAAATTTTTATATTCTTTAAATGTTTATGAAAAATTTATAACATACTGACAACATCGCTCCAGAATTAATTTATTTAATTCCATAAATTAATTTTTAAATGGTCATGTCGAGAAAATAAATATAATTTCTATGAAATCGTTATCAGATTATTTCGCAACAGCCTGATTAACAACAAATGAAAGACACGACTCTTGTGAGTCGTTTGTTAAACGTGCAATGCTATGATGTTAACAAGTGAATCTGTTAACTGCCAGTAAAATTTCGAATTAAAAAATTTCGAAGACTAGAACTGTTTCTGATTTACTTTTACTAACTGATGTTATTTCTAATATCAATTTTTCAGCATTATTTATGCCAACTATAGACTCTGTTGCTGATGTGATGTTTTTTTTATTACCATACATGAAATTAGGAAGAGAAGTAGAAATAAAAATGAGAGCTGATTTTGGAGCCTACTATAAAGATGATAGATTCTTTATACATGGTATTTTGGGATAAAACATATAAACTCTTTTAGTATACTTACAGCTATTCTATCAAAAAGGTCATACACACTGTAGCTATATCCCAATTGACTAAAAAGTTACATTTAAAAACAAAAAACAATTGTGAGCACATCTTTGCCAGTAACAGTTCCTTATTTTTTCAGGTCTTTTTAATTTTCTTGCCACTTTACTGCTATGTGTCAATATTGTTTAAATTTTACATAAAATGTTCAAATCGTCGTTTATAAAGAGCATCTGAAGCACAGAAATTAATTGAGCAGCAAGTGTAGTAATGCAATTTAAGATTTTTTTTCAGTCCTTTAAGATGGCTTGAATGGAGAATTGATTTAGCATAAATTTTTGAAGTTCTCTCATAAGAGGTAGAAGAATTGATAAAACACATTGAAATCACAACATGTGAGAGGTTCTAGAAAATAAAAGA